ATAATTGCTGCTTTTAGGCAGCACTAAAAGGCAGGGTAGGCCAGGTCTCATGATTGGAGTATTCATTGCAGTGTGTAATGCAGTGTACCCTAGTTTGTTTTAACACCATCCCAGCAGGGCAAAAGACTCGGGGCTGATACAAAATCATTCGGGTCTGGTGATGTCAATGGTGTGTGTGTGTGTGTACGTGCGTGTGTGTCAGCGCTTGGCACTAAGAGGCTGGGGATACTGTATTGATGAGAATTTTGTGGGGGAGCTCGGGAGGATGTAGAGAAGCGGTGAAGTGGCAGATAGCTCAGTCCCATTGGGCTCCTCTCTCTCTCGCTCTTTGCTCGATCTGTGTATTCATCCTTTCTTTCCTCTGCACTGGTCCTCTAGCCCCTCTGCCCCTCTTGTCATTTTCTTATGCCCCCTCTCTCATCGGTGACTCTTTTAAGCAGGTGTTATTTCTCTATCCATGCTATCTTTCTCCTCTCTCTGCTCCCTTTGTCCATAGATACTGTATCTGTTGTGTGATTGTAATGACTCTCTCTCCCTCACTGTCATTGACTTTCACTGTTGTCTCGCCTCTCTTCCTTGACTTTCCTCTCTTATCTGCTCTCTCTATGTTTTCTCTTTCCCCTATCTCTCCTCTTCCCTCTCCCTTTTCTCTTCTCTCCATCTCGCCTCCTTCCCCTGCTGTCTCCCTACTGTCTCCCCCGTTTGCTCCATCTCTCCTCCCTCTCTCTGTTGTCTACCCTCTTTTCTCTTATTTCTCCTCTGTTCCCTCTCTCCTCTCCTCTCTTGCCTTGCTCTTCTCCTTCATCCTAGTTTGCCACCATTGAGACCATAGTGACGTCAGTGTCAGATGAGTTCCCCCAGTACCTGAGAAAGAACAAGCCTCTCTTCACGCTCATTTGCTGTGCCTGTTTCTTCTTCCTGGGATTCCCTATGGTCACAGAGGTACAAAACACCACGCACACACACTCACACATATACAGTTGAAGTCTGAAGTTTACATACACCTTAGCCAAATACATTTAAACTCAGTTTTTCACAATTCCTGACATTTTATTTAGTAACAATTCCCTGTTTTAGATCAGTTAGGATCACCACTTTATTTTAAGAATGTGAAATGTCAGAATAATAGTAGAGAGAATGATTTATTTCAGCTTTTATTTATTTCGTCACATTCCCAGTGGGTCAGAAGTTTACATACACTCAATTAGTATTTGGTAGCATTGCCTTTAAATTGTTTAACTTGGGTCAAACGTTTCGGGTAGCCTTCCACAAGCTTCCCACAATAAGTTTGGTGAATTTTGGCCCATTCCTCCTGACAGAGCTGGTGTAACTGAGTCAGGTTTGTAGGCCTCCTTGCTTGCACAAGCTTTTTCAGTTCTGCCCACACATTTTGTTATAGGTTTGAGGTCAGGGCTTTGTGATGGCCACTCCAATACATTGACTTTGTTGTCCTTAAGCCATTTTGCCACAACTTTGGAAGAATGCTTGGGGTCATTGTCCATTTGGAAGACCCATTTGCGACCAAGCTTTAACTTTCTGACTGATGTCTTCAGATGTTGCTTCAATATATCCACATTTTCCTTCCTCATGATGCCATCTGTTTTGTGAAGTGCACCAGTCCCCCCTGCAGCAAAGCACCCCCACAGCATGATGCTGCCACCCCCGTGCTTCACGGTTGGGATGGTGTTCTTCTGCTTGCAAGCTCCCCCTTTTTCCTCCAAACATAACGATGGTCATTATGTCCAAACAGTTCTATTTTTGTTTCATCAGACCAGAGGACATTTCTCCAAAAAGTACGATCTTTGTCCCCATGTGCAGTTGCAAATCGTAGTCTGGCTTTTTTATGGCGGTTTTGGAGCAGTGGCTTCTTCCTTGCTGAGTGGCCTTTCAGGTTATGTCGATGTAGGACTCGTTTTACTGTGGATATAGATACTTTTGTACCTGTTTCCTCCAGCATCTTCACAAGGTCCTGTTGTTCTGGAATTGATTTGCACTTTTCGCACCAAAGTACGTTCATCTCTAGGAGACAGAACGCATCTCTTTCCTGAGCGGTATGACGGCTGCGTGGTCCCATGGTGTTTATACTTGCGCACTATTGTTTGTACAGATGAACGTGGTACCTTCAGGCATTTGGAATCTGCTCCCAAGGATGAACCTTGTGGAGGTCTACAATTCTTTTTCTGAGGTCTTGGCTGATTTCTTTTGATTTTCCCATGATGTCAAGCAAAGAGGCAGTGAGTGTGGAGGTAGGCCTTGCAATACATCCACAGGTACACCTCAAATTGACTCAAATTATGTCAATTAGCCTATCAGAAGCTTCTAAAGCCATGACATCATTTTCTGGAATTTTCCAAGCTGTTTAAAGGCACAGTCAACTTAGTATATGTAAACTTCTGACCCACTGGAATTGTGATACAGTGAATTATAAGTGAAATAATCTGTAAACAATTGTTGGAAAAATTACTTGTGTCATTCACAAAGTAGATGTCCTAACCGACTTGCCAAAACTATAGTTTGTTAACAAGAAATTTGTGGAGTGGTTGAAAAAAAGTTTTAATGACTCCAACCTAAGTGAATGTAAACTTCCGACTTCAACTGTACATGCTAGCACACACACAAATGAGCATGCACGTATGAAGGCACACGCATGCATACATGCACCTACAGTGCCTAGTGAAAGTCTACACACCCCTTGCACAGTTTTACATTTTGCTGATTTAAAATTACATTTAAATAAGGGATTACATTGGATCTTTCCGCTACTTCTCTACACCCCCTGCTTGACATGTTTAAAGTGAAAGAAACATACAGTATGATTTTTTCTTAATATATTTTTTAAAAACAAAGATGTCTTGATTGTGTATGTCTTAACACCACAGAGTTAATACTTGGTGGAGGCACCTTTGGCAACAAAGTTTGAATATTGCTGTCCATCAATGATTCCCAACCGAATGTATTGACTTTGAGCAATTCTGAGAAAAACAATGGATATAAACTCAGCAAAAAAAGAAACGTCTTCTCACTGTCAACTGCGTTTATTTTCAGCAAACTTCACGTGTAAATATTTGTATGAACATAACAAGATTCAACAACTGAGAGACATAAACTGAACAAGTTCCACAGACATGTGTCTAACAGAAATGGAATAATGTGTCCCTGAACAAAGGGGGGTTCAAAAGTAACAGTAACAGTCAGTATCTGGTGTGGCCACCAGCTGCATTAGGTACTGCAGTGCATCTCCTTCTCATGGACTGCACCAGATTTGCCAGTTCTTGCTGTGAGATGTTACCCCACTCTTCCACCAAGGCATCTGCAAGTTCCCGGACATTTCTGGGGGGAATGACCCTAGCCCTCACCCTCCGATCCAACAGGTCCCAGACGTGCTCAGTGGGATTGAGAACCGGGCTCTTCGCTAGCCATGGCAGAACACTGACATTCCTGTCTTGCAGGAAATCACGCACAGAACGAGCAGTATGGCTGGTGGCATTGTCATGCTGGAGGGTCATGTCAGGATGAGCCTGCAGGAAGGGTACCACATGAGGGAGGAGGATGTCTTCCATGTAACGCACAGCGTTGAGATTGCCTGCAATGACAACAAGGTCAGTCCGATGATGCTGTGACACACCGCCCCAGACCATGACGGACCCTCCACCTCGAATTCGATCCCGCTCCAGAGTACAGGTCTCGGTGTAATGCTCATTCCTTTGACGATAAACGCGAATCTGACCATCACCCCTGGTGAGCCAAAACCGCAACTTGTCAGTGAAGAGCACTTTTTGCCAGTCCTGTCTGGTCCAGCGATGGTGGGTTTGTGCCCATAGGCGACGTTGTTGCCGGTGATGTCTGGTGAGGACAACAGGCCTACAACAGGCCTACAAGCCCTCTGTCCAGCCTCTCTCAGCCTAGTGCAGACAGTCTGAGCACTGATGGCGGGATTGTGCGTTCCTGGTGTAACTCGGGCAGTTGTTGTTGCCATCCTGTACCTGTCCCGCAGGTGTGATGTTCGGATGTACCGATCCTGTGCAGGTGTTGTTACACGTGGTCTGCCACTGCGAGGATGATCAGCTGTCCGTCCTGTCACCCTGTAGCGCTGTCTTAGACGTCTCACAGTACGGACATAGCAATTTATTGCCCTGGCCACATCTGCAGTCCTCATGCCTCCTTGCAGCATGCCTAAGGCACGTTCACGCAGATGAGAAGGGATCCTGGGCATTTTTCTTTTGGTGTTTTTCAGAGTCAGTAGAAAGGCCTCTTTAGTGTCCTATGTTTTCAGAACTGTGACTTTAATTGCCTACCGTCTGTAAGCTGTTAATGTCTTAACGACCGTTCCACAGGTGCATGTTCATTAATTGTTTATGGTTCATTGAACAAGCATGGGAAAGTGTTTAAACCATTTACAATGATCTGTGAAGTTATTTTGAAAGACAGGGTTCTAAAAAAGGGAGGTTTCTTTTTTTGCTGAGTTTATGTTGCCCAATCTTATTCAAAATTATTCACAGTTGTTATTGCTGCAAAAGCTGCTTACACCAAGGGGGTGTGATGACATACTCAATCAAGACATATTTTTTAATAGAATTTGATTAATTGAGAAGATTTTCTATAATTTGGAGAATTATAGAAAATGTGGAGCAGGTTGTGTACCTAGATAAGTAGGACAAAATATCTTATTTAATTTTAGGGCAGCAGAAGGTGAAAACTGCAAGGGGTGTGTAGACTTTCACTAGGCACTGAATGTGCGGTCACACACACACACACACATTGTAGTTATACATTTATTTAACCTTAATTTAACTTGGCAAGTCAGTTAAGAACAAATTCTTATTTACAATGATGGCCTACGAAAAGGCAAAAGGCCTCCTGTGGGGACGGGGGCTGGGATTAAAAATTATAGGACAAAACACACATCATGCCCTCCATACACTGACACTGGCTGTGCATCACTGGCTTATGTTGTGTGTGTGTGTGTGTGTACGATTTTTGCATTTGTGTGTGTTCAACAGAATGGGATGTACATGCTCCAGTTGGTGGACACATACGCTGCCTCTTACTCTCTGGTCATCATTGCCATCTGTGAGCTGATCGGAATCTCCTACTTCTATGGTGAGTAGTAGAATAATTCTATGAAAATTACTTTAGATCTTTTGTTTACCTGACTATAATAACCTTGCTCTCTGATAGCTCCGGTAGAAGTTGCTCTTCGGTGCAGATCTAGGATCAGCTTACCCTCCCTAAATCCTAACTGTTGTCCTGTGTGGCTCAGACGGTATAGCATGGCGCTTGCAACGCCAAGTTCTGTGGGTTTGATTGCAGCTGGGGCCACCCATACGAAAAATGGATGCATTCATGACTAAGTCGCTTTGGATAAAAGTGTCTGCTAAATGGCATATATTATTTATTATTATTATAAACATTAGGAAAAATAATGCAAAACTGCATTCAGATCATTGTCTCGGGTGGCAAATTCATCCTACTCTTACCTCACTTTATGAACGTCAGAATCAGAAAAGCCTCATAGCCATTCAACATTATTGATTGCCATTTTGTCTTGACTAAACAACATAAACACAGAAAGCACATGACTTATAGTGTGTGGTGCTTAGGTTGTTAAATCATGGTGGCTGTTTGCAATTCAAATGAGGGAGGTGTTAAACAATGGAAGTTTTCATGTATTTACCTGCAAATAAACGCGTCTCCATTCTCACAGACCTGTTACCTGTTTTTTGGTTACATGGTCTATGAAAAAACAGGATTCATGTGTAGGTCTCGAGCTGGGTTTTTTGTGGTGAAAATGTACAGTGTTTATACCTACTATCCATTTCACATATAAAAGAAGACTAAAAAAAGAGAAAAAATACAGGTTTTGTCTCAGTATAAATGGGCTATAAGAGGCTCCAGACCAGGTGCCTAGGTTGCCCTTAAGCACAGATCTAGGTTCAGCTTAATCCTTAAATCCTCATCCTAACTGTTATGAGTAAAAACACCAAACAGACCTTAGATCAGTGTCTAGGGGCAACTTTATCCCTCTCCGACAGGGGGCTCGAGCACTTCTCATTCTGACCACTAGATGCCTGTGTTACCATTCTAGTGGACCAATGATCAGGTCTGAAGCAGACCCGTGAGTATATGGAACAGACTGTACTCCAATGCGTCACAGCATCAGCAGAGGTGGTTCCAGTGAAATGATTGTGTAGCTTGTGACTCATCTCTTGCCAAGTTTGTCGGTCAATACACCGACAACAATTGTGACAATTGTCAAGCCACATTGTTTTGGAGGATAATAAATGTCCCGGGGTTCTCCCTGGGAATGAATGTGCCTTGTAGGGGGCCTGTGTTGGAGCTCTCTTGTCTGGAGCTCTGGGTGAAATTGGTTCACTCTCTGGGTGCGTCCCAAATGGTACCCTATTCCCTATATAGTGCACTACTTTTGACCAGAGGTGTATACAGATAGGGAATAGGGTGCTATTTTGGATGGAGTTTCTGTGTGTCAGAGTGTTTCTACTCCCCTCAACCGAGCAGTCGATTTGACTGACTCTCCCTCTTTTCTCCTCCTCTTTCTGTCTTTATTCCCCTCTTCCTAGGCCTGCAGAGGTTCTGCGAGGACATTGAAATGATGATTGGCTTCCAACCAAACCGCTTCTGGAGAATCTGCTGGGCCTTTGTGACTCCTACCATTCTGACTGTAAGTGTGTGTGTCCGATCTATACGGAATGGGGTTTAGATATTCATAGGCGCGCTAGCACGCACACTCACTCACTCACTTACCATACAGAGACACAGATGCGTGCACACACACACACACACACACACACAAACAAACAAACACAACACACCTATTGTGTTTCCCTTTTCACTGCAGCCTTTTCAAATTTAGGGGCCAACATCGATTTGCAGCAGCGAGTGTTAACCAAGAAAGGGAACAAAGCAAAAAATAAATCCCAGACTGAAACGGAAATTGTTTTCCTCACTATTTACCGTTATAACACAGGTTGTTTGTGCTATTCGAAATGCATCACTCCTATAGCCTACGTAATGTTGTCATAACTATGACATAACAGATTGTCAAAGACAAATTATTTGAACCTAAAACGTTTAATAAAAACATTTATAGTAAAATATTATGGGGAATGGAAATGAGAGGGCTACTTACACAGTGTTGGGAAGGGATCACAGCAGTGATTGAATGAGGATGTGAGGCATGAGTTGAGATGTTCAGAGGTTTGACTTCAGTGCAGGACAGAGGTTGAGATGTTCAGAGGTTTGACTTCAGTGCAGGACATAGGTTGAGGTGTTCAGAGGCTTCAGTGCAGGACAGGCTCCTCATGGATGCATGTTGGAGAAGAGCTCAACTCTTCCACTGAGGGCAGGACAGGATTTGACTGGGAAGACAAAAAACAATAACACAACACATTTAGACAAAAGAGCTAAGATTGAGTTAGTCCAAGCAAGGAGTAAAATCATTGATGTACAGTATATGTGTAATAATTGGATTGTGTTTGTTGCTGGTCTATGGTATTTATCCAAACACGAGGGCTACTTACACAGTGTTGGGACAGGATCACAGCAGTGATTGAATGAGGGTATAAGGCCAAAAAAATCTCTGGGGCCCTGAGTTTTTCCTTATCTGGTAATCTAACCAGGTAAAACTCCTGACCCTTAAGGGTATGACAGTGATAAATCACTGTTAAGGTTTTATATTGGCTATGATGGGTCCAGTTTTTCTAATCAGATCACATGGTTTTTAAAAAATCCTGGAAAAACTCATGGCCCTGGGGAGGATTAAAACCCTGTCAAACTGCAGGAACCTTGTACTTGTTCATATGAATTATATTTAGGCTAGACTAACAGGGGGGTTTCCTCTACACAGAGACAACAACTGATGGACAATAGGACTCACAGGGCTGAGCTTGCTTTATGCTTGTTTGCATCGTGTAGGCCTATGCAACTGTAGGCCTAATTCAAAATGTAGTCACAGCCTGTGTCATCACTATTGTGTTAATTGATTAATTCCAGTTAATAATGTTGTATTGCACATATTACCAATTTGTTTACCATGACCAGATGGACAGGGCGCATAGGCTGTATGCACTTGCTTTTTTAAATTATCCTACTTAAAAATCGTCTCGTTATTCATCCCATACAGCATGTCAGATCTCTAACGGTTAAGTTATGGCAACTCACGTCATAGTCATGACACAAAACTGTTTATGACACTAAATTGACATGGCTCACTAACTGGCTCAGTATAATGCTATTACATTTTTGCACGAAAATCTAATTATGGCTTGACAATGTCAAATCAGTGTCAGGACTGTTTATATGACACCTGTTATGTCATGTTGATAATACAGTTCAGTATGCTTTCTGACGAATGATTCAAACTAAGTATTATGGAAATTTCTATAGCACACCAACTCAGTAACCTCATGCTCTCCTACCTTACAGAAGTTACACTGAGTATACAAAACATTAAGGACACCTTCCTAATATTGAGTTCAACCCCAAAATCTTACCCTCAGAATGCCTCAATTCACCGGGGCATGGACTCTACAAGGAGTCGAAAGCATTCCACAGGGAAGCTGGCCCATGTTGACTCCAGTGCTTCCCACAGTTGTGTCAAGTTGGCTGGATGTCCTTTGGGTGGTGGACCATTCTTGATACACACAAGAAACTGTTGAGCGTGAAAAACCCAGCAGCGTTGCAGTTCTTGACACAAACCTGTGTGTCTTTCCCATTCCCCTCTGAATGGCACACATACACAATCCATGTCTCAATTGTCTCAATGCTTAAAAATCCTCCTTTCAACCTGTCCCTACCCCTTCATCTATACTGATTTTAAGTGGATTTAACAAGTGACATCAATAAGGGAACATAGCTTTCACCTGGATTCACCTGGTCAGTCTAGAGCAGGTGTCCTTAATGTTTTGTGCACTCAGTGTATGTTTCACCGCATTGGAAGGTGTTACAGTGGCAGTACTAGTTTACTAGAATGTCTCTTGCTGTAACAGCTGAGCGTAAGTGACAAACGACACAGCTATTGCTCCAGCCTACCACTCTCCCCAGCCAGCCAGTCCGCCCCTCTCTAGGGGGTTACAAATTACCCCGGGGACCTCTGTGATGCATAATCTTGTCCTCCTCTTCTTTCTCCTCTTCTCCCTGTTCCCTCCTTTGCCCCTCCTCATCTTACCCTCCTGATCCTTCCTTTCCTTATCTCTTAATCGTCTTCTTCCGGTTTTTGATCACCCTCTTTTCTCCACCTCCTCCTTCACTTCGTCTCCCCCTCATCCTTGATTCTATTCTTGCTCCTAATCCTCCTGTCATCTCCTTTTTCTCCTCTCTCTCCCTGCAGGGTATCCTGGGGCTGAGTCTGTACCAGTGGAAGGTGATGACCTATGAGGACTACACCTACCCCCCATGGTCAATGGTGATGGGCTGGCTGATGGTGTTGTGTTCTGTCATCTGGATCCCAATCATGTTTGTCATCAAAATGTACTTGGCCCCAGGCAGCTTCATGGAGGTATGTATGGGACACAATACCACGCACATGTACTGTAAACCTGTTTGTACAGTACCAGTCAAAAGTTTGGACACACCTACTCATTCAAGGGTTTTTCTTTATTTTTACTATTTTCTACATTGTAGAATAATAGTGAAGACATAAAAACTATGAAATAACACATATGGAATCATGTAGTAACAAAAAAAGTGTTATACAAATGAAAATATATTTGAGATTTGAGATTCTTCAAATAGCCACCCTTTGCCTTGATGACAGCTTTGCACACTCTTGGCATTCTCTCAACCAGCTTCATGAGGTAGTCACCTGGAATGCATTTCAATGAACAGGTGTGCCTTGTTAAAAGTTCATTTGTGGAATTTAATGCGTTTGAGCAATCAGTTGTGTTGTGTCAAGGTAGGGGTGGTATACAGAAGATAGCCCTATTTGGTAAAAGACCAAGTCCATATTATGGCGAGAACAGCTCAAATAAGCAAAGAGAAATGACAGTCCATCATTACTTTAAGACATGAAGGTCAGTCAATTTCAAGAACTTTGAAAGTTTCTTCAAGTGCAGTCGCAAAAACCATCAAGCGCTATGATGAAACTGGCTCTCATGAGGACCGCCACAGGAAAGGAAGACCCAGAGTTACCTCTGCTGCAGAGGATAAGTTCATTAGAGTTAACTGCACCTCAGATTGCAGCCCAATAAATGCTTCACAGAGTTCAGGTAACAAACACATCTCAACATCAACTGTTCAGAGGAGACTACGTGAATCAGGCCTTCATGGTCGAAATGCTGCAAAGAAACCACTACTAAAGGACACCAATAAGAAGAAGTGACTTGCTTGGGCCAAGAAACACGAGCAATGGACATTATACCGGTGGAAATCTGTCCTTTGGTCTGACGAGTCCAAATATGAGATTTTTGGTTCCAACCTCTTTCTTTGTGAGATGCAGAGTAGGTGAACGGATGATCTCCGCATGTGTGGTTCCCACCGTGAAGCATGGAGGAGGAGTTGTGCTGGTGTGGGGGTGCTTTGCTGGTGCCACTGTCAGTGATTTATTTAGAATTCAAGGCACACTTAACCAGCATGGCTACCACAGCATTCTGCAGCGATACGCCATCCCATCTGGTTTGGGCTTAGTTGGACTATAATTTGTTTTTCAACAGGACAATGACCCAAAACACACCTCCAGACTGTGTAAGGGCTATTTGGCCAAGGAGAGTGATGGAGTGCTGCATCAGATGACCTGGCCTCCACAATCACCCGACCTCAACCCAATTGAGATGGTTTGGGATGAGTTGGACCGCAGAGTGAAGGAAAAGCAGCCAACAAGTGCTCAGCATATGTGGGAACTCCTTCAAGATTGTTGTAAAAGCATTCCTCATGAAGCTGGTTGAGAGAATGCCAAGAGTGTGCAAAGCTGTCATCAAGGCAAAGGGTGGCCACTTTGAAGAATCTAAAATGTAAAATATATTTTGGTTTGTTTAAAATTTTTTTGGTCACTACATGATGTGTTATTTCATAGTTTTGATGTCTTCACTATTATTCTACAATGTATAAAATAGTAAAAATAAAGAAAAAACATGAATGAGTAGGTGTGTCCAAACTTTTGACTGGTTCTGTATGTCCCATAAATACATTCCAGATCTATGCAGATCTGCTCCTTTTTCTTTATTTTCCTGTTCAGTCACCCATTGAAATCCTGGGGTAAGGAATGTTTTTTGGACTGTAAATATCTTATGTGTTTTTAGCAAATGTAAGCAACATTTACATTTGTCTGTAGCATACTGAAGTTAGTTTTTTGGTATTTAATACATGTCCCGGTTTGATATTGCCTGTTCTGTTGACAGTCCATAACTCTGAGGTTTGTGTCTTTGAGGTTCTACTGTAGTATAGTTGTATATAAAAAATTCATCTCACACATCTCATATAGGTTACATAAACAAACAAACAGTCCACACAATCCCCTCAGCAATTGTGACTATGAACTCACTATGACCTTCCTGTCTCTGTGTGTTACTGGAACACAGTATGTATGAATAATGTGAGCATGACTGTTGGAAGCATGTGGTAAGCACTGAGCTCCCTAGTTACAGTGCATTGGGAAAGTATTCAGACCCCTTGCCTTTTCCCACATTTTGTTAAGTTACAGCCGTATTCTAAACTTGATTAAGTAAAAAAAAATCCTCATCATTCTACACACAATACACCACAATGACAAGCAAAAATTGGTTTTTCAAAATTTTTGCAAATCTATAAGAATATAAGAAACATAAATACCTTATTTACATAAGTATTCAGACCCTTTGCTGCTATGAGACTCGACATTGAGCTCAGGTGCATCCTGTTTCCATTGATCATCCCTGAGATGTTTCTACAACTTGATTGGAGTCCACCTGTGGTAAATTCAATTGATTGAACATGATTTGGAAAGGCACACACCTGTCCATATATAAGGTCCCACAGTTGACAGTAAATGTCAGAGCAAAAACCAAGCCATGAGGTCGAAGGAATTGTCCGTAGAGCTCAAAGACAGCATTGTGTCGAGGCAAATATCTGGGGAAGGGTACCAAAAAATGTCTGCAGCATTGAAGGTCCCCAAGAACACAGTGGCCTCCATTATTCTTAAATGGAAGAAGTTTGGAACCACCAAGACTCTTCCTAGAGCTGGCCGCCCGGCCAAACTGAGCAATCGGGTGAGAAGGGCCTTCGTCATGGAGGTGACCAAAAACCCGATGGTCACTCTGACAGAACTCCAGAGTTCCTCTGTGGAGATGGGAGAACCTTCCAGAAGGACAACCATCTCTGCAGCACTCCACCAATCAGGCCTTTATGGTAGAGTGGCCAGACGGAAACCACTCCTCAGTAAAAGGCACGACCGCCCGCTTGGAGTTTGCCAAAAGGCACCTAAGATTCTCTGGTCTGATGAAACCAAGATTGAACTCTTTGCCCTGAATGCCAAGGGTCACGTCTGGAGGAAACCTGGCACCATCCCTACGGTGAAGCATGGTGGTGGCAGCATCATGCTGTGGGTGGTGGCAGCATCATGCTGTGGGAGACTAGTCAGGATTGAGGGAAAGATGAATGGAGCAAAGTACAGAGAGATCCTTGATGAAAACCTGCTCAGACTGGGGCGAAGGTTCACCTTCCAATGGGGAAAGGGGGATACCTAGTCAGTTGTACAACTGAATGCATTCAAATGAAATGTATCTTCTGCATTTAACCCAACCCCTCTGAATCAGAGGTGCGGGGGTCTGCCTTAATCGACATCCACGTCACACAGGACAACGACCCTAAACACACAGCCAAGACAAAGCAGGAGTGGCTTCGGGACCAGTTTCTGAATGTCCTTGAGTGTCCAGCCAGAGCCCGGACTTGAACCCCATCGAACATCTTTGGAACTCTCCAAATACAGGTGTGCCAAGCTTGTAGCGTCATACCCAATAAGATTTGAGGTTGTAATCACTGCAAAAGGTAAATCAACAAAGTACTGAGTAAAGGGTCTGAATACTTATGTAAATGTGTTATTTCAGTATTTATTTTTAATTTTTTGCCAACAAAATTATGTGGGTAGGTTGATGAGGGATTTTTTAAAAAACCGGTAATCAATTTTAGAATAAGGCTGTAACGTAACAAAATGTAGAAAAAGTCAAGGGGTCTGAATACTTTCTGAATGCACTGTATGTTTTCCCCCTGTGAACGAAGAGCTATCACATCAAACATACAAGTGCAATTAGCTCTTTAGTATGACATATGACAGAGAGTTATCAGAGGACCAGGGCTGATATTTCACTTTACTGCACGTTAGAAAATGGATCTCTGACATCAAAGACTTCTGTTTGCATCCCAAATAGCACCCTATTCCCTATACAGTGCAGTACTTTTGACCAGATCCCTATCAGCCCTGGTCCTCTGATAACTGGTGGCGGATCGGCACAGGAAACACAGACAAGTAGCAGTCCCCCACGCTGTGCTTGTTGAAGTCCCCTACATCACACATGTGTGCTTGCGTGCGTGTGTATGCACTGTACTCGCAAACAGTACGTTTTGGTATAATCGCCTTAATCAGAGCCTTAAGATAGTTACAGTATCTGGCTAAGTTATTATTAAGCACATATACTGTATATGCAATCAATATTTTCTATAAAGGTTTGATGCGTTTTTTAAGTGAATTTCAAAGTTATAGACATTTCAGTGTTACGAACGACTGCCATTCCCGACATTTTCATATCTCTCAGAACGGTCCTACTATAATCTATTGTACCCATTGACCTTCTGCAACCCAAGTTGAGTGATACGATTCTATTCTATTTTAAAACAACTGTGTGACTCTTCCCCCCCCGCTCCCCTCCACAGCGTCTGAAGCTGGTGTGCTCCCCTCAGCCCGACTGGGGTCCCTTCCTGGCAAAGCACAGAGGGGAGCGCTACAAGAACATGATGGACCCCCATGGATCCAACTCCCTGGGCCTCAAACTGCCCCCCAAAGATTTCCAGCTGGGTGCCTACCAGTAGCAGCCTCCACTACTACCACCAACACCACTTCAGCAGGGGCACCGGGGGAAAGAGAGAGCAGCAGCCTACCACTGCCCTCTCCTCCACCTATTCCTTCTCTTTTTCCTGTTCTCCACTCCTCTTCATCTCTCCTGTTTCCTTCCTCTTTCCCTTCAATGTGGGTGCGAGAAAAGCAAGCTAACACATCCTCCACTTTTTTTCCGGTTCTCCTGTCCACCTCGCCTGCTCCCTTCTTCATTCTCCTCTACTCTATAGAAAAGTGGGGCTGCCCTCCTCTCCAACATTGCTTTCTCTGGCAGGCACCCATACTATACCCTGCCCTCTCTCTCCCTAACCCCTGACCTGAGAATGGTCTGTCCTCTGCCTCCTGCCCATGCACAGCCATTACTCCAGAACCCTTTCTTTCTGAGGGGATCTCTATTCCAAGAGAAAAATGTGTACCGTGTCACAATATTGCAATGGCAATATTCGACTGCACATGACAAAAAAATCGAATCACATTTTATTTGTCACATGCTTCGTAAACAGTGAAATACTTACTTACGGGTCCTTTTCCAACAATGCAGAGTTAAAGATAAAAATCAAAAAAATATATAGAAATAGTGACAGAAGGAATAAATACACAGGGATTAACAAATAACAATAACGAGTAAAAAATAACATGGTACTGGTACTCCCTGTATATAGCCGAGTCTATGTGCAGGGGTACGCGGTAATTGAGGTAGCTTTGTATATATAGGTAGGGGTAAAATGACTATGTGTGTGACTGTGTGTTTGGCGTCAGTATGCGTGTGTGCGTGTGTTATGTGTGTGTGGGTATATGTTGTGTGTGTGTGTGTGTGTCTGTGTGTGTGTGTGTTGGGGTGCCAGTGTGAGTATGTGTGAGTAGAATCCAGTGTGTGTCCATAGAGTCAGTGCAAGAGAGAGTGCAAAAAAGGGTCAATGCAGGTAGTCCAGGTAGCCATTTGATTTAGCTATTTAGCATTCTTGTTATGGCTTGGGGGTAGAAGCTGTTCAGGGTCTTGTTGGTTCCAGACTTGGTGCACTGGTACCGCTTGCTGTGCGGAAGCAGAGAGAACAGTCTATGGTTTGGGTGGAGTCTTTGACCATTTTTCTATCCTTCCACTGACACCGCCTGGTGTAGAGGTCCTGGATGGTAGGGAGCTCTGCCCCAGTGATGTACTGGGCCATACTCACCACCCTCTGTAGCGCCTTGTGGTCGGGCGCCTTGCAATTGCCGTACCAAGCGGTGTTGCAGCCAGTCAAGGTGCAGCTGTTGAACTTTTTGAGGACCTGAGGGCCCATGCCAAATCTTTTCAGCCCCCTGAGGGGGAAGAGGCGCTGTCGTGCCCTCTTCACAACTGTGTGGGTGTGTGTGTGGACCATGTTCATTCCTTAGTGATGTGTACACAGAGGAACTTGAAGCTCTTGACCGATCCACTACATCTGGACTACTCCCTATGGAGGTGTGTGTGCATGCATGTGTGTGTGTGTGTGTGTGTGTGTGTGTGTGTGTGTGTGTGTGTGTGTGTGTGTGTGTGTGTGTGTGTGTGTGTGTGTGTGTGTGTGATTGTTTTATTCTTGTATCTATGTGTATAGTGATAATGGAAAATCCTCCACAAACAAAAAGGCACAAAAATTTAAATTGACAGACTGAGAAACATTGGTATTCATCAGACTCTGACCTATGGGACATTATGATATATAATCTTTTTTTTCTTTATGAAATAGGCAACACAAGTAAAATAAACTGCCTAGAAATGATGCAGTATGTACTGTCATTATGGTTCATTTTCATAGATGATGTTTGTTCCTGTCAAACTATATATATATATATATATAGATATATATATATATATATATATATATATATATATACACATACACACACACTCATATTTAATGTGCAGGCTCCTTTGCTTTATCTGAATAAATGAAGTTACCTGCAATTTTTGCCTTCTACTTCTCCAGTATATAAGGGAATGCCTATCGCTGACTACTTTAACTATAAACCCTTTAGTCTCTACTATCTCTAAAAAAAAAATCTCTGTAATCAAGGGACAATTTGTGGTGCCCTCACTCTTTATTTATGAATCTTTCAAATTCATATTCTCTTGTTATATGAACATAGCACATTGATACAAGTTGTGTAGTTGATCCTTCCTTTAGTAGCTTAAGATATGCAAAATGGCCATGTGAAATTGTAGTGATTCTTCTCAGTGTTTAGAATAGTCCGATGGCCTTTGTGTGCATAAAAATTAAACCAACTATTTATTGCTGTAGACATGTGTTGTGGTCTCGTCATGGCAACTGTGGAACCTCCCTTTTTCCTCATATACGCAACTTCTGTAGGGTAACGATATATACACACACACGAGAGAATGTGTATGGCTCCAGATGTTTTTTCCTTGCCGGCTGTGTAGCTGTATCTTGTACACTTTTTAAAAAGAGATGTGTGTTGACTTAGTGCGTGTTAGTGTTGTAACATCCCCACAATGTTAGGAGCAACTGATAGAGATGTGTGTGGGTAGTGTATAGAATATGGCCTCTTTTTTTCTTGGAACTCTACTTGTCTTATTATATGTGGTAGAGCTCTGGGGAACACTTTGGATTTGTCTCAAATGGCACTCTATTCCCAATGAAGTGCAATACCTTTGAATATGTGAGTGAGTCCTATGTCCGATCAAAAGTACTGCACTAAATGGGGTGTCATTTGAGATTTGTACTTTGCCATTTTTAACTGTGTCTCTTTGTCTTCATGAAACAGGGTGTCAGGTATACTTGATTCCAGGTCTGCCTGCTATTGTAGATGTATAATTAACAACAGCCTTCTACATGGAAGAAATATACAGTAGAGCTTCCACAATTTCTACCTTAATAAGGGAGACTTAGATATTATTTTAGAAATCCTTCAAAATGTGCCTGTTCTCTCTTTTTTTGCGCACTATTATAAAATCATGAGGCATTCTAGTTCAGTAGAGCATCAAGGAATGTCTTGGTCAAATCGCACTGCGCTGACCAAAATGTACAGTATCTCACAAAAGTGAGTACACCCCTCACATTTTTGTAAATATTTGAGTATATCTTTTCATGTGACAACACTGAAGAAATGACACTTTGCTACAATGTAAAGTAGTGAGTGTACAGCTTGTATAACAGTGTAAATTTGCTGTCCCCTCAAAATAACACAACACACAGCCATTCATGTCTAAACCGTTGGCAACAAAGTGAGTACACCCCTAAGTGAAAATGTCCAAATTGGGGCCAATATTTTGTGTGGCCACCATCATTTTCCAGCACTGCCTTAACCCTCTTGGGCATGGAGTTCACCAGAGCTTCACAGGTTGCCACTGGAGTCCTCTTCCACTCCTCCACACATCACGGAGCTGGTGGATGTTAGAGACCTTGCACTCCTCCACCTTCCATTTGAGGATGCCCCACAGATGCTCAATAGGTTTTAGGTCTGGAGACATGCTTGGCCAGTCCATCACCTTTACCCTCAGCTTCTTTAGCAAGGCAGTGGTCATCTTGGAGATGTGTTTGAGGTCGTTATCATGTTGGAATACTGCCCTGCGGCCCAGTCTCAGAAGGGAGGGGATCATGCTCTGCTTCAGTATGTCACAGTACATGTTGGCATTCATGGTTCCCTCAATAAACTGTAGCTCCCCATTGCAGGCAGCACTCATGCAGCCCCAGACCATGACACTCCCACCACCATGCTTGACTGTAGGCAAGACACACTTGTCTTTGTACTCCTCACCTGGTTGCCGCCACACATGCTTGACACCATCTGAACCAAATAAGTTTATCTTGGTCTCATCAGACCACAGGACATGGTTCCAGTAATCCATGTCCTTAGTCTGCTTGTCTTCAGCAAACTGTTTGCGGGCTTTCTTGTGCATCATCTTTAGAAGAGGCTTCCTTCTGGGACAACAGCCATGCAGACCAATTTGATGCAGTGTGCAGCGTATGGTCTGAGCACTGACAGGCTGACCCCCCACCCCTTCAACCTCTGCAGCAATGCTGGCAGCACTCATACGTCTATTTCCCAAAGACAACCTCTGGATATGACGCTGAGCACGTGCACTCAACTTCTTTGGTCGACCATGGCGAGGCCTGTTCTGAGTGGAACCTGTCCTGTTAAACCGCTGTATGGTCTTGGCCACCGTGCTGCAGCTCAGTTTCAGGGTCTTGGCAATCTTCTTATAGCCCAGGCCATCTTTATGTAGAGCAACAATTCTTTTTTTTCAGATCCTCAGAGAGTTCTTTGCCATGAGGTGCCATGTTGAACTTCCAGTGACCAGTATGAGGGAGTGTGAGAGCGATGACACCAAATTTAACACACCTGCTCCCCATTCACACCTGAGACCTTGTAACACTAACGAGTCACATGACACCGGGGAGGGAAAATTGCTAATTGGGCCCAATTTGGACATTTTCACTTAGGGGTATACTCACTTTTGTTGCCAGTGGTTTAGACATTAATGGCTGTGTGTTGAATTATTTTGAGGGGACAGCAAATTTACACTGTTATACAAGCTCACTACTTTACATTTATCAAAGTGTCATTTCTTCAGTGTTGTCACATGAAAAGATATACTCAAATATATACAAAAATGTGAGGGGTGTACTCACTTTTGTGAGATACTGTATCTTTACCTAGGGCACTGGAGTTGAATGAGATATGGTTGGCATATAATTTCCCTTTAAAATCTTGTTAAAAACTCTTCTCCGTGGACAGAACTGGTCCATAACAGTTATATGTCTTACCTAGAACCCTAAGAAATCTGGAACAGTGTCTGCTTCCCAAATGGCCACCTTATCTCTAAATAGTGTACTACTTTTGACCAGGGCCCGTACTGTAGGAGTACAAGTAGTGGACTATATACGGAACAGGTTGCCATTTGGGACACAAAGTGCAGGGGTCAAGACTTCAATCTGACAGTGACAGCTCACGACCACCTGCCAGCCTGCCGCTAGCTATCCAGAGGGCCAGTAAG